AACTGATCTTATTATGTAAGTGTAAATATGTATATATAAATTATTTATTATTAAAAATTAAACATATATTTCTATATTATACATCATTTGAATCCAAATATGTTCCATAATTGTGCGTGTTTTTGTGTTCCTGTATAAAATACAAGAAAACTAGTATGAAGCAATAACTATACATTATGGACCCACGATTGCAACGCCCCATTACCTGTCTAATTGCGGGTCCTACCATGTCAGGTAAAACATTTTTCACGACTAAATTACTATTGGCTTGTAGATATAAAAGGTGAACCTGAAAATAGTATTGGGTATTACGGTCACTATCAACCTATTTATAATTATTTAGCGACAAAACTATCCCCTCTCCCATGTACAATTTTACCATTGAGTCTCTATAACATGTTGATACTATGAAACGTAACCAAATAGTTTTGGATGATTTACAGGCTGAAATATGCGATAATATGAATGTATCGAATATGTTCACCAAAGGATGTCATCATATGAACACATCCGTTGTGGTTTTACTTTGAAGCCTGTTTTGGCAGGGAAGGGCCCTGCGTGATATCTCGTTGAATTCATAATACTTAATTATCCTAAAAATTCCTATGATGCGCAACAGGTAAACATTTGTTTCCAGTAATGCTAAGGTTGTACGTGGAGGTTAGATACGAATATCTTCTCTTTTATGTCAAGCCAAACACACTAACTAAATTTCGTTTAGAAACAAATAGTTTCCCAAGGATACGCAATATGTGTACGTTCGTAGAAAATGAGCGCAAATATATAACGAGCTGTACGATACTCGTTTTATTTCCTCATGTCGAAACTAATGATAATCAATTTTGACTTAAGTGTACTTGCAAAGTGCAACAACCCTCAGCATAAAGCAATTGGGAATACAGGCAACAAAGAGTTATTGGCTATAGGGAATGTTGCGTTATTTTACTAAACATCAAGCTAGTAAAAGAAGTCTTAGGCCATACTTTTATTATCCCTTGTTTCACGAACCCGCCGAATGAACAGGAGCCGAAAATGAAATAAATATAAAATTTTATATTTTAAATTATTTTTATCTTCATGTTTTTCCGCACGCCGCCTAACAAATCCATGTTGCATGTTCATGGGAGTATCATGATCAAAGTAGCGATAGTCTCGCGCAGATAGATCAATACTTTATGTGCGTTGGTTGACAGTGAATCTCGGTGCTGCTTGAGACTACTTGGCGAACATGGCGGCGGCGTGGTTTGTGGTGACACGCCGTGAAACTCTGTCGTCAAAAAGCGAGACATCCATCATTAATGCTGAAAATTGTGCCACCATTGGCGACATTGCCAAACATGGAATATTTTTTTTTCATTTCTTCTCTCCGATCAATGATCTCACTTACAATTTTTTGAGACTCGCACATTTTTAATGGAAAAAATGAAAATGAAAATATCTCGCTCACATATGCGGTTCTTCTTTACAGTGACAGTTTTACAGTTCTGTTTCCGCCCCTGCCATTTGCTAAATGATTTGTTTCGCGAGGTCTCTACCTAGAGTTTATCCCTGCTGCTATACCATGATTTTGTTCAAATTCTCCCGAGGCATCATCACCCACCACTTTCACTTTTTTCTTAATGTACCAATGAATGATTTCAGAATTGTTTGAAAGAATGCCCCACGGATCATAGTAGATGTTTATGAACAGATCAAACTCTCTCACATTAAAGTAATTAGGTCGTAATTAAAGTAAAGTAGTTAATATTTAGAAATTGTATCACAACCTGAACGTATTACATTTCGGATGATGAAGCATTGACACTATTTCGGTTCAAACACCGCAACCAAATCAAATGCGCTGTGTTTACTTAACCCACAAAAAACAATACAGTGCAGGTAATATATGGTTTTGTAAGTGATCTGGGCCCTAAACTGCACCCGAATGCCATAATCAACATTATTTGTGGACGTGCACACACGAAAGAAATACATGGTCAACTGAATGTTACCAAGTAATCCATATTTACGCTTCTTGTATGAATATAGACGCGAAAACAAAATTAAAACGTTTTTAACTTGTTCACCCCTGAGCACAACATATGCCGTCATTGTGCAAGTTGTTCTTATTGTTACTGAGGAGGGGTACTTTGTTTACTATAGTTCATTTATTAATTTATGTTAATAGGTTAAATAGTTGTTAACGCGTGTTAGATTGGAGTTGTCACCGTCAAGTGATCTTTCATTGGTTTACTATTGCTAGTATCTACATACTTTGTACAGTGTTGTGATTTTACACTTATTATGTGAACTTGACAAAAGCTTTGCATTTAAAGATGGTATTTATGATCTCGTTTTTATGTTGCGTTGTGCGGTTCTTGGTGTCTGCAGCGCAATATTAATAATATTCAAACTATTCTTCCACGAGGGGTTTTAGGTGTGCCCATCAACACCCGCCCACCAACGTACATCCAGCTCAAAGTATTTGTAAAAAGCTTGCATTGTTCTTCCCAAGCCTAAACAAAAGAGTAGTTGCCCAAACCTTCATTTTGCCATTGTTTCAAGAATCCAAACATAAACAATGACCACTGGAAGTCTGCAAGCAGTTATCAAGTGTATTCATGGTCGCCAGACATTGTTGCCACTTATTGCTCACAATACGCAACTACAGTGGTTTCAATTTCCGATCACGAAAGAAGGAAGAAAATACGAACGAAATGTATATGCACAGAAAATAAACAACTATATTAGCAGATTGGATGTAAACTCGAACAAAAATTAAAATTGTAGCCGTATTTACAACATTCGCTCGATTTTCATCGTGAAAACAGCATGGAGAAGGCGAACTGATGACCTTTTGGCCTACCCCATTCAGCGACCGTTGGCCACCCACCGCTATTGGCGCTGTAACGATTTAGTATCTAAGTTGCATAGGGAAACAGCGCATTCTGGGTGTTCGTGTACTGAATTCGGAAAGCGGTAAAAACATCAAACATGGCTGCCGTATTAGTTTACCGTGAGTATTTGTATTTCAATACATACTTTAGTTATCTTTCCCACGTACTTTTTTCAATTTATCGATTTTTTATGTCGAACCTTTCGAGAACATGGCAGATTATTTTATTTTGCAGATTGCTAGCATTTTTTCTTGAATTCTAAAACAACTCCGTGTGAAAACGCAACGTGTCGTAGCTGACAGTACATTTGTAAATGTATCGTACTATCCGTCGACACGGATGAGTACTGATGCCACAAATAAAAATGTTATGGATTTTATTTTGACAAGTCGCCCGTTTTGGCTTCGGGGAATTATCACCTCGTATATTTTCTACATCATAACTCAATTATGTTTTGTACTTGCTCTTCGTTACTCGAATTGAATTTCATTAACGTAGAATTTAAGAATGTATAAATCACCGATTTCAAACTTTGCATTTCGTAAATATTGATTGTAACATGTTTCAATTAAACTCAAAAAAAAAAAATAGTAAATAAATTAGTGTTTATTGCAGTTCATGACATAAATGCTAGAATTTGTATGTAAATGATATGCAAATTAATATGCAATTTTATGCTAATTAGACCGCCCACCAGCTATTTTGGATTGTGAAAAACACTGCAAACCAAATATCATGTCTTTCAGCAAATTCTTTAAATGCGGCGTTGTACTTCTGTGACGTTCGTCTAATTTCGGTAAGATACCGACATACATGGTCTATTATGAAAGTGTAAAAACATAAATCACCAAGATGATACATATCAAATAGGAGAGAAACGTTAACATATTCGTGGTGGTTTTTCAGGCTTTCATATACGCGTTTTCATATGACTTGCGTGCGCTAATATACACGTGGTCACATCTGTGTTTTTCTTACACAGCCGTGAAATATTGGACAAGATTAGGGCGTGATTGTGAACATGCCACCAGTGTCTGAACTACCTTGTGTATGTATTATTACAGTGTAGTAACATCAGCTGTCAGATATTGAATGCCGTACTTAATGGGAAAAGAAATGCAGATTATTTTAATTTATTTGTCCACGATAATGATTCATTCTGGGCGTGGAGAGCCCTCTATTAGTTCCAAAACACTGAAGATGCGAGAGATTCTATCTGAGAATATTCGTGCAATAAAGCAATTACTATTGAAAAAGATGAGCTAAGCAAAAGGTGTAAGACCCCAGTTTCATCATAATATTTTATTTGTATACATTTATGGCTGTGATTATTCCTTAGCTTATAATAAACCTAGGCAGATGCAGTAAGTCTGGACGGTTCTTGACAAGAGGGGCGCAGAAAAAAGTTATGACAGTATCTCAGGTATTTTTAGTATACTAATCATAACATCATAATTACTTATTAGTATGTCTTACATCTGTAACAACAACTACCTGTTTTCACATTTATATCTGTGATCTGCGAACAAAATATAATAACTGTTGCTTCTCATGCGTTAAAAAAATATCAACATTGTGATCAATCTTTGTGTGTTCATCTTAGAGAACCTTCAACTTACAAACACAGTAGTTTGCCCAGTGGACGTGATTTAATAGGTATTGAATTTGAAAAATGAGCAGAATAAAACATGGGCCACTTGTTACAACTCGCCTACTTAGCTCAGTTACTACTCAGTGGCTACCAAATGGCTTGGATTATCATAATCTTTCCCAAGTTTGTAGAACACAATTTAAGAATGAGAAAATCAGGACAAAATGTTGCACTTGGAGTTTATGTTTTCTACTTTCACAGTTCACAGCCATACTGAAACTCCTAGAAGTGTAGAAACTATCAATTACAGATGTAATTAATTCATAAATTCACCAATGTGCATTGATACAACAAGTAAGGGGTAGACAAGTAACAATAGTATAGAAAGAGGGAAGAGAGGACATGGCAGTCACTTGGCAAATGACCACAAAATACACTATCGGATAAATCCATTGCAATTACTTCTAATCATGAGTATCAATCATACCTGACTATTACCATAAACAAATTATTTTGTTCAACACTATTTCATCTTTATGATTTCAATCCATATCCATATATTACAATTAATACCTTTTTTCGGACATCATATTCAAAGCCGGAATCTACAAAAGTAATAAATACACTGTCAGCATACTTTATTCTATGTTTTAGTCATATTACCTCAAAATCTGCAAATAGAAGTGTGCATGGAATCATGGGTAGAAATAGTATGCATTGCCGTGTGATAACTGTCATAAAGGTGATTGATAGGTCATACGTGTTTTCAACTCTGGAAGGACAGTTGGAATCCACCAGGTGTGCTTGTGATTTACATAACAAAGGGTGTTTACAATTTTGGAAAAACAATTGGAATCTACCAGGTGTGCTGTTATTTGTTATTGTTATAACAGATGTTTATGATCTACTGAGTTGCCTACGTGACACAGCTGCTAGCAAGATCACATTCTGATTTGCTCATGTGGAAACCAAGGTGGTGTCCCTGAATCTGAGCCATTTATGACTACAAATAGGCTACACTGAGGACAGTTTGGGATCCTTCGTTTCAACTGTGTGTTGTTACTGCTGCGATATTGTGAGACAAGTGATACAGGCTTCAACCATCATTCTTTCAGAATTGTATGAACTGCTCTGCGATCTGCTTTCAGCGGTGCCCTCCAGAATACCAGCGTTCCTCTGCAAGCACGACTCCTGTATTTCTTCGTTGTTGTATTGCAGGAGCCATTGACTGTCGTTTTGAGAGGTATTAAAGCCAAGAGCTTACCTTGATATTTCAGTGTATGTGTATTTCATTTCCAGTACTATTGTGTTGTCTACCCCATACTAGCAGTGAAAGAACCTCCTGTCCAGTGTACAAATAAGTACAAATAAAATGCCTGGCTTAATGCCTACTAGCAGATAAAACACTAAGCATAATAGTAGTTTATAAATAAATAAACGCTGCTCGGACTGATAAGTATGATATATTGAAGATAATATTTGGTAATCGTAGTCCTAAATAACTATTAAAAATAGCTAGACGTTTCGAGCAATGGCTCTTTATCGATAGCATAGAAGCAAGTGTGATAACGTACAGGTAGAACATAGGAACGTAAGAACGCGCATGAACTATAAGTTAGAATCACAAAAAATTCCACAATAGAACAAATAACGCGCCTCAGGTAGTGAGCTCAACAAATGAGTTGAACTGTTTGTAATACCACGGGGTTCTTTAGTACCAAGGCGGAATATAGTTTCCTCCTCGACACGCCTGAGCTGATTTTCGTTGCCATTGACTACGCTGACGTCATCTCTTCCACGAAGTGATCACGTGATACTCGCATGTCAAATGCATTCACTCAGGAGCAAAATAAGTTTCATTGCCCCGTTACGGCTATCCCTGTTAGTATAGTGTATGCAAAAAGCACATCCACACAAATCGCTGCATGTCATGTCCGTCTGACAATCTATAAAATTTTCTAATTACACAATAAAAAATACAACTCAATAGTGTCAAATTTACCAGGCGACACCCTCCCTCCCCAAAACATGTCATCCCCTCTCCCCCACTCCCATAGCTAACCATAAAACAGTTAATGGGAGAGAGAGCAAGGGTGGACATGTAACTAACTAACCCTCACCAGGGCCGTCTTCTCATGGTAGAGGTACTACTGTACTCTTCGTCGTGGCTTTAAGTAATAGCTGAACTTCA